CTATCCATCTATCTATCGATTTCACTCTGTTAATATCTATTAACTCACTGTATTGTTTATCTATCTATCTAGCTCGCTATCCATCTCAGTTTGTCCATATCTATCTATCTATCTGTCTATTTTGCTCTGTTCATATCTATATATTTATCTCTCTGTATTGGTTATCTATCTATCTATCTATCTATCTATCTCCAACTGTTCATTATCTATCTATCTATCTATCTATTTTGCTCTGTTCATATCTATATATTTATCTCTCTGTATTGGTCATCTATCTATCTATCTATCTATCTATCTATCTATCTATCTATCTATCTATCTATCTATCTCTGTTCAACACACCTTTAATCTAGTTAAAAATGTTCATATCTATTAACTCACCGTATTCATATTGCATATGAAAACCTTAACAAAATATAGATAAACTCATATTAAGATTTTACTGCTCATAAATTGGGGGATCGGTTTTCTATTGTCATGAAGTAATAAACCGATCCCCGAATTAATTATCTATCTATCTATCTATCTTGCTCTGTTCATATCTATATATTTATCTCTCTGTATTGGTCATCTATCTATCTATCTATCTATCTATCTATCTATCTATCTATCTATCTATCTCTGTTCAACTCACCCTTAAACTAGTTAAAAATGTACTCGTTTATCTATCTATCTATCTATCTATCTATCTCCGACTGTTCATTATCATTTTGCTCTGTTCATATCTATACATTTATCTCTCTGTATTGGTTATCTATCTATCTATCTATCTATCTATCTATCTATCTATCTATCTATTTCAGTCTGTTCATATCTATATATTTATCTCTCTGTATTGGTTATCTATCTATCTATCTATCTAACTATTTCAGTCTGTTCATCTCGCTCTTAATCTGGTTAAATCTGTACACGTTTGTCTCTGTATCTATCCATCTATCTATCGATTTCTCTCTGTTAATATCTATTAACTCACTGTATTGTTTATCTATCTATCTAGCTCGCTATCCATCTCAGTTTGTCCATATCTATCTATCTATCTGTCTATTTTGCTCTGTTCATATCTATATATTTATCTCTCTGTATTGGTCATCTATCTATCTATCTATCTATCTATCTATCTATCTATCTATCTCTGTTCAACACACCTTTAATCTAGTTAAAAATGTTCATATCTATTAACTCACTGTATTCATATTGCATATGAAAACCTTAACAAAATATAGATAAACTCGTATTAAGATTTTACTGCTCATAAAGTGGGGGATCGGTTTTCTATTGTCATGAAGTAATAAACCGATCCCCGAATTAAATCTATCTATCTATCTATCTATCTATTGGTCTGTTCATATCTATATATTTATCTCTCTGTATTGGTCATCTATCTATCTATCTATCTATCTATCTATCTCCAACTGTTCTATCTATCTATCTATCAATCTATCTATCTATCTCTGTTATCTAATCTAGTTAAAATGTATCGTTTATCTATCTATATCTATCTATCTATCTATCTATCTATCTATCTATCTATCTATTTTGCTCTGTTCCTAATCTACATTTAAAAATGTATCTATCTGTTTATCTATCTATCTATCTATCTATCTATCTATCTATCTATCTATTTTATCTCAGTCTGTTTCATATCTATATATTTATCTCTATGTATTGGTTATCTATCTATCTATCTATCTATCTATCTATCTATCTATCTATCTATTTCAGTCTGTTCATCTCGCTCTTAATCTGGTTAAATCTGTACACGTTTGTCTATCTATCTATCCATCTATCTATCGATTTCACTCTGTTCATATCTATTAACTCACTGTATTGTTTATCTATCTATCTAGCTCGCTATCCATCTCAGTTTGTCCATAACTATCTATATATCTATCTAGCTATCTATCATTTTGACAGCATGTATTAACACCCATTAATTACCACATATTGAAAATTGCAAAAAAATATTTTCCAAGACTTGCATATGAAAACCTTAACAAAATATAGATAAACTCGTATTAAGATTTTACTGCTCATAAAGTGGTGGATCAGTTTTCTATTGTCATGAAGTAATAAACCGATCCCTGAATTAATTACTGCACATTAATAATCAGGAGAAAACTTTCTTTAAAGCTTTACATCCGAAATTGTTCTCGAAACAGCAGTTTTATAAATGCCATCCATTTTGACAGCCTAGATAAACGCATATGGTGTCGATGAAGGCGAAAGAAAGGAAGCTGGCGTTTGAGAACATTGTGCAGTCAAGATAGATTAGCAAAGCTACCGTATTGTCCACGTTATGGAAAACATCAAACGCCTAAGAAAGAAGAGCGTTACATGTTGATCTCTCGACTTGTAATGCGTTAGCGGCAGCATCTCCTGACTTTCTTCAGATTCCTACAATATTCAATAAGTTTCTGGGAGTTTCAAACCAAATCCTTTCTTTAATCTACTGCATTGACTGTTTCTACTTTGCTGTGCATGCTAGAGGTATCTTCAGTGGCGTAGCTAGTGGGAGGGGGGGGCGATCTGCCCCAAGCAACACTTTTATGGGGGCGACACTTTTGAATCTTATGCATAGGCTGTATTGTCGGGTCAAGCTGCATACACTCCTAGACGCTGTATTGAAATAAAAGTGGTTTTAACGTCAGGACACTACTCACAGTTGAAAGACCTTTTCCACTATGGCACATGTATTTAAGTGATTATTATCTCAACCAAATCATAAACATAAAGTAGTAATGTATATTTAAAGTATACTAGTCCATTTGAGTATGTGAAAGCAATATTATAATGATCTATATATATATATATATATATATATATATATATATATATATATATATATGTGTGTGTGTGTGTGTAAAAATATATAGAAAATAGGAAAGAATTCGTTAGGTAAATAATCCAAAAGTTCTTTAGTATTTTTTTATTATTTTTAAAAATAGTGCTCGATACAAAAGTAGAGCATAAATATAATTATTTATTTAAAAATATGATTCCAACGCTACATAAGAGTTCTCATGTTTCAAAACAAGAGCCAAAAACTTCAATATAATTATTTGAATTAAATTGAATTAAAGTACCAAGCTCTGTTCCATCTTCAAATGAAATTTTTTTTGAATAGCTAATTCCTGAAATTTACGCATTTTATTAGCATATACATTATTAAAATTAAAATTACTATGGTAACGGCTAGAGCAATTATTTATAGAAAAGGGGTGTCAGGGTAAGGGTGGGGTGTCTAAATTTAAAGCGGAAGATGACATCGTCTAGTTTGGTTAAGTGTCTATGGAGATTTATTTACTTTTTTATTTATTTATTTTTTTTTCGAAAGTGTTTTGTGTATATATAAAAAAAAACTTTCATAATTCGCTAACATTTGTTTTTTTGACGACTTCATAAAGGGTTATCTTTAAAGAAAACCCTTTATGAAGTTGTCAAAAAAGAAATGTTAGCGAATTATGACAGTTTTAAAAAAAAAATTTCACTTGAAGATGGAACAGAGCTTGGTACTTTAATTCAATTTAATTCAAATAATTATATTGAATTTTTTCGGCTCTTGTTTTGAACCATGAGAACTCTTATGTAGCAATGGAATCATATTTTTGAATAAATAATTATATATATATATATATATATATATATATATATATATATATATATATATATATAATAAAAAGGCTTAAAGACTAATATTCCATGGTCATAATTTATTCCATTGGTTTCGTAAATACGATCCGATTCATCAGACCTACAAATTCAAAAAGAAAACAGAAAAAACAACTCCGGGAATAAAAAATAAAATTTAGTGAGAGTGTATGTATGAGAGTGTGGGACGAATGTTAGAGTAAATGAAAGCTATAGAGAGGGGTAACAGACGAGAGAAGAACAGGAGAAGAACAGGACGGTCTATATATATATATATATATATATCATCTTACTTATTATAAAATGCAGATTGTGTGTGTGTGTGTGTGTGTGTGTGTGTGTGCGTCTGTTCGTTTATATATTTGATCGGATTTCCTACATTTTTCACCTGATTTCAACAAAACTTCACAGGACTACGTAAAATTACCTTGCGGTGGTTCTGACAGTGCCAAAAATTGGAAAAACACATTTGTTTTTGCACGAAATCAATTTGAAAACACGATTAAGAGGTATTGCTGTCGAGAATGAAAGGGGGGAAACTCATATCGAGTTATACTTATTATAAAACCCAGGTTGTGTGTGTGTGTGTGTGTGTGTGTGTGTGTGTGTGTGTGTGTGTGTGTGTGTGTGTGTGTGTGTTCCTTTATATATGGGATCGGATTTCCTACATTTTTCAACCGATTTCAACAAAACTTCACTTTGTTTTTGGCAGGTAGTGTTTCTTATTGTCTTGCACACTTTTTTCTTTATTTTTACATTCAGAATGCTTTAAAAATTCCATTTACAAGACAATTGTTTATAATAAAATTCTATTCAATCGATAGACTCATAACGATTGAAAACAATGTTTTTGTTTGAGTTTGGGTTTAACCAATTCGTAAAAAAAAACCAAAAAAAAACTACTTATGACATGCGTGTCCGTCAACCTTAAACAATAATCTTTGTCAATTTTATTTTTCAGTCTTTATGATGGTCGATACTTGATCTATCTCTTACTGTTACATCTCCGGGCAACGCCGGGCTCTACTGCTAGTATATATATATATATATATATATATATATTATTTGTTTTAACTTTATTTTTGGATATTCATATTTGAGTAGTTGCTCTGTTTTTATTATTAAACAGTATATTTATTTACATCTCTCGGCCTGAAAATTCAAGAAATCTTGTTAGAAAAATATGCATTCTCTGGTTGATGTAAATAAAAAAAATATACTATTTAATAATAAAAACAGGGCATCTACTCAAATATGAGTATCCATTTACAATACTAAAAAGGGGGGTGTTTGATGAAAGGATATTGAGAAGGATATGGATCAGGATCAAGGCATCAGAAGATGTCGATTGATATTACATTTGAATATTTGAAGATTATAGCTATCAAAGAAACAAATAGGAAGACGTGCGTTCCACTGCCTGGAAGTGCTAGAGAACAAGCCTTTGGAGTAGAAGAGGCGGTTACATTTAACTGTTTCGATAGTAAAAGGGTGGGACCGACATGCCAACCGAGTAGCACACTTAAATTCATGCAGTTGGGGTACCAGTGAAAGTAGCTTCTCAGAACAGTTGCCATGAAAATACCTTTTGGAAATACAAAGGGAAGCCACGGCATGTCTGCGAGAAAGCGGTGGCAGACGATATGCCACGAGCGGCCTGACGATTGCGTCTAGCAGGAAACAGACTGCCGCCGTTAAGTGTTGA